TGTTCCTCCCCTGCTCACGCTCTGTCTCTCTCTTTCTCAAAAATAAATAAAGATTAAAAAAAAATTTTAATTTAACCTTTGATCAGGGGCAAAAAAAAAAAAGTGAGCCAGTCAGCTCCAATGAAAAAGGTTATTAAGAATAAGATCAACAATAATTGGTAGTAAGATTATAACTCAATAAAAGGGAAAGGGAAAAAAGGACAACAAAACACACACGGGTGGGAAACAGTGTAAAGATATACATAAAAAGGTATGAAATACAGCAGACAGATTAATCAAATGAGTTCCAGAAAAATAAAAAGATAAGCCAAGAGAAATGTTTTTCAAAAAAATAACAATCAAGAAATTCCAAAATTAAAGATGTCTTTCAGACAGAAAGGGATCATAGAGTGCAAAACAGAACCTATGATAATAAAATAACAGACACATTTTGAAATTTTAAAAACTCAAAGAAGATAAAGAGAACATAAAACTACTCAGAGGAAAAAAAGGCAATCTACCCACGTAAAAAAAACCCAATCAGACTGATATCTGAGTGTCAAACAGTAGGTGCAAGAAAACAGCAGAGTAATGATTCACTCAAATTTAGAATGTTTAAAATTCCTCAAGTTGATATAGGGTATCTTCCAAAAATCTACATCACAATTAACAGAAAATTTAGTTGCATTCCCTTTGGAATCAAGAACAAGACAAGGATGCTTGCTATTACTACTGCTACTCAATAAAGTACTAGAGGTAGAGGCCCCCCACAATAAGAGGAAAAAGAAATAAAAGGGATGAGGATTGGTAAGGCCCTACAGATTGTCTGTATCCTAATTATAAAAGTTGTAATTAAGAAAGAAATCCTGGTATTTACATTACAACTTAGCATCACTTCTTGCTAATCAGTTCATATGAAAACTGAGATGTGTCCACTGGAAAATATCTGGATATGCTTTGATAGTCTTCAAAAAGCAAGATAAATCTTACCAACTCCTGATTAGAAGGCCTAACATTGCTATGGTACAACATGTGACCATGCAGAAAAAAAAATGCGTGAGATTGCCAGTAAGCAAGCAGAAGAAAATGGTATTTTTATACATGCATCTCAAGTTTTAAGAACACAAATGAACCTAATTACAGAGGATGGCTGGCATATTTTGACAGTCTTGGCTATTATCACATTGTCACATTATAAATTTCACTGCGTTCTCTGCCATAAATTGTGTGATTTTCAATCATAATGCATGATGGACTTTAAAAAAAAAAGAATGCCTACAAAAAAAGGGAAGATCACAACACTGTAAATATGGGGAGAAAACTGTTCTTAAATTAGAGTTTTAAATATATTGATGAGTTTTAACCTCTGATATTTCTGCAATGGTTCAGAAATTACGTGTCATTCCATCCCTAAGCATTTTTTATGCTCCCTTGACCTATATCACATCTATCTCTCTCACACCCTCTTTTACTTTCTCTCTCTCTTTTGCGCACGCGCGTGTACACACACACACACACACACACACACACACACGCACACACACACCATGACAGGCCCTTGCCTAAATCTGAATGGAGTCTTTGGTTCAAAATCCAACTCTCTCCATCTCAAGCCACTATTTCTAATCAACAGTAAATAGAAAAAGAACAATAACTGAAACTACGGAACACTTCCTAATATCAAAAGAAAATAAAGGTTTCATATCCAAACCCTCTTCCTGTCTTTAATAATCATCAGTCTCTGAAAGTTTAATCTAAGAACTTCACAAATTAACTGAAATCTGGAGATGCCCCTAAGACACTGATAAATTTAAAAACCTCTCCAAACATACCATAAAAATCTACTTTAAGAAATCAGCAAACTATAATGTTTTTACTGGAGGTATCTTTTCCACAAGCCATGAATTTAACACCTTGGGACTTGTTAGCCAAAATATAACTTACACAAAATTTCAAAATGGAAGATCATGTCATCAGAAAAAGAAACATATTTGAATTCTCCAATTTTATTACAGATTTGGGTGGTGTATTCCTAACCTGACCTATTCTTTCTACTAAATGATATCGAATTATATCAACCATGGAAGAATTATTCCCGTTCCTTATGATACGGCAAAACTTTTGTGTCTCCCCTGTGATTACTCTGATAAAAGTTAAGTTGGGTCTAGTATGGTACCCCCCAGGGTGTAGGTACATGTCTGTATAAACTGGGTAGAATGTACCTTAACCATTTTTATGCCAATAGTTTCTCCCAAATTACCCATTCGAGGCTCAAAAATAAGGTTCTTACAAAACAGCCAGAGGCTACCCAGTGAAGGAAAGAAGCATTTAAGAAACAAACTTTGGGATCCCAAAAGAACATGAAAACCTCTTCACCTTTAAGCAGGTAACTTAAAACGATTCTCCAACCTTTCTTGGTTTCTGACATTGGTGTATGAAGTTTTCCGATATTTGTTTTTCAGTCTCACACTATAAATGGGAAGCTGTTGATACACATACAAGTGCACACACATAAACCCTCTCTTAACCAGGAGCTAACAAAACAGGCATCATGATGTGAATTAGAAGACAGCCACAACCATGAAACAGCAGTGACATAAGAACCAGAAGAATTCTCTATGACCTACCTTCCCCCCAAAGTCTATCTTTTTTATTAGCTATGGGAAATTTTTGAAAACAACATGATACAGGAATAGAAATATCTATTTTATTCACCTACTCTTTGGGGGTTACTAACCATAAGGTAGAAAACTGAGCAACCAACTTACTTATACAACAGCTTAATTTGGTGGTTAGGTATGCCTCTACAAAAGTGACTGCAGCTTAATAGATGTGCTTATTTTTATGGCCTAATAATTACAGTCACTGAAAGATTTACTTTGCCATGGAATACACATCAATGGAGAAAGAAGCCTGACAAATGAGGACTGATTTGTAGAGAGAGTGACGTAGACTCTTCAAAGATAATTAGGACACATTTCCTTCGATTACAGAATCGTCCAAAACAAATTCTTTGAAAGCAAAAAGGGACATTATAAGGCTTTGAGAAATCAGAAAACATAACATAAAAGTAAAACATAAAGTTAGAAGATATCCAAAACAGAGCTACACACTCTAACCTTTTCACCCCAAATCAGTTCCTCCTTTTTCTTGCCACTCCAACATTGATGAAATGAAGAGTAATCGAAATTTACTCTGGAGACACACCAAGGGACTCCAAAAGGCCATGGAGGGAATTTCAACTAAAATTGAAAAGCCATACAGAGTTCTGCAAAGAAAAGCACACCACAAATCAAAACCTTTATGACAAAAAGTTAACTAGCATCTACAGGTTTAAGCTAAGAAAATAACCTGTGCCAATTTTAAAATTCCCAGAAAACTAAACTAGTAGATGATGAAAGAACAAAGCAACAAGTTTATTTCAACAAAAGCTACAAAGAACCACCAAAGACTAACAAGCACTAATTTGACTTTTTCCACCCACTGGTGGATTTCTTAAGATTTTGTTTTGGCAAATTCTCAATAATGTTTATTTTCTTAAACTCAAGTTATGAACTTCATTTGTGCACAGTATTGTACACTTACAGAGTCAGGCTTAGTACTGCTGAACAACTACAGTTGCATAAAAATAATGCACTAGTCCTAAGGAAACATTTGTGGGAAAGGGCTAAAAAGGAAACCTCCAAGCACACCCCACAACGAACGAACACTTGATTCCCCTCTTTATTATGCTCTCTTTCGCAATCCCAAACACGTAGGGTTTTCTAGGACGCGGTTTGAACCCCTAGGGGGCAAAAAAACACCAAACATCTCAATTCCCCATAACGATTTCCCAACAATATATTAATCAGTAGCTGTTGAAGGCATGTCATAAATTAAAATAAAATGCAATTTTAAAACTAACTGTCCAGATGTTTAAAATTTTGTTTTAAATAAGTTCTGTTTCTTCAAAACCGAATTTTCCTTAGATCTCACAATTTAAAGTAGCTTTATTTCTTCTCCCAATTGTCACTTCCCATTAGGGTTCCCAATAGCACATTAAGGGGACACTACACGGGCCACGTGGTCAGTGGTAGCTGGAACCGGTTTAACCTCAATTCAAATTCAGTTACAGAGCACTTAATAGTTGCACGGCTTGGTTACCCGCACTACAGACAGTTTATTAAGAGACTTAAGCCTGCCTGAACTGAATGGGTCTTCGCTGCAAAGCCCTCCCCAAACCTCACATCTCCCAAAATGAGAGTGCATAAACAGTAGAAACTAACCCAGGCAGGACCATTAGATAACAGAGGTTTTAAAAGTCCTCCCAAGGAGCAGCCCAGGACTGGCGTCGGGGCAGCATCCTCATAAGGATTCGGAACACTTAGGAGTCCCGCGCCTCGTCTAACCCCCAGGCCCTGGGACCCGGTGAAGACGCAAACCTCGGGGAGACCCCCGCACGACCACCTGTCAGAGCGAGAAGCAGCTCCCTACCCAGGAGTCTCCAGCCCCTGCCTACAGGCGCCGCTCCCTCGGGGCTCCCGGAACCGAGAAACAGCACATTGCGCACTCGGGCCAAGAACACCCTGGGTCGCGACCCTGCTGACCGACCGACCACGCCCAACCTTCCGCTGAGACTGAGTCCCGAGCGGGGTCAGCCGGCCCGCTGCGAACTCGACTCTCGTCTCCCGCCGCTCCTTCTTAACTGTCCTGTTCAGCTGTGTCGCCGCCTTCCGAGCCGGAAGCCTGCTACTTACCACCTGACCACCGCACCGAGTAACTCCCACCGCCTTGTTTAATGCCGCTACCGTCGCCGCCGCCGCCGTCTTCGTCACCGTCGCCGCCGCCGCCATGTTTGTTGTGTCTCCGACTCTCTTCCCGCCCCACAGCCTTGTCGAAGTCTCGCGTGAGCAGGGCTTATGGCAAAGGCGGAGAGGGAGCTGTGTGTCTCTCTTGAGGTTCCGTAGGCACTAGGGGGCGGGGCCAGGGAGGTGTGCTGGGGTGGGGGCGGGGCCTGACCCCGCCCTCAGGCCCCGCCCCTAAGCGCTGGCCCTGGGCCCGGAGGCGCTGAGAAAGGACTTCGCTGGATTGGCACAGTCGCAGCTCCTGCAACACTCATGGAGGGAGCGGCGGTTCGGCTGCTGCGCGGAAGCGCGCTGGTGAGTGCGCTGGTGGCGGCCGCCCTGGGGGTCGGAGACGACCTTGGCCTCGGCGGCGGGGCCTTCTAACGGGACCCAGGAGCCCTCTCCACGTCCCGGGTCCTAGCCTCCTTCTCTCCTCCGGGTCGGTCTCAGACCCTTCACCGAGGGCCGACCTCCCACCAGGCCTCTGGGCGAGCCGGCCTCCGCTTCTGTAAGGAGGGCCGGGAGTAGCAGCTGGTGAAAAGGGGGCCGGGAGATGTTCTCGAAGCTTCTTTGAGGGAGCAGGCATTCTGCCCTCAGTCGGAGTGCCATGACTCCCAGATGTCCTTTGCAAATCTTTGGGCCCTGAGCCTCGGATCCTTAGGGGCAGTTTGCAGAGGTGCCCCCTCTCCGAGGCCAACTTTACCCAATTATTACATTTCACCACCACCCCCAAAAAGATTGTGAAAAATAGTCTCTTTCTGAGCGGTGCGTTTCCCCGTCTTCCCTAACTCAGCCCTGCTCCAGAGTTAGGAAGGGACCTCAGAGTTGGTCAGACTTCGCAACCAGTTAGAGAATTCCCTCAGCCCCTTATCTCATGACCAGGGCCAGAGCATCTCCCATGGGTGAGCTCAGCACTGCTCAGGGGAGCCCATTTCCCTCCGGCTTCCTCAACTTGAGCTGAAACCTGCCTCCCAGGAATATCCACCTGTTGTACCTAATTCCGCTCTCTGGACGTATACAAACTGTGGATTCTTTAAAAGATACTGTGTGGGGTTTTTCTCATTACATTAAATGTTTCCATTATTCAGCTTTTCCTTGGGTAGGCTTTCTAGAACCCTCTCACACTTGGATACATTTCTGTTTGTGAGAACATTTCATTAGAGACTTGACCTCTGCTTGGCTGTAGACCTTTGCATTTGCTCTAAGGAGTTAAAGGCTGTTCAGCTGCCACTTCAGTGCCATGCCCGGAGGCAGAACTCTCCTTTTGTAATTAGAGATAATTAATTTTATTTGACTGTCTTACAGACTTGAGGTATTAAGAAGATTTCTAAAGTCGTCTTAGTGTATTGTTGCAAAGAAATTAAGTCTCTACGGTACTATTTAGTACTATTTTATAATTGTTGTTTAGTAGCTTAAGAAAGACAGTTCCCAGGATTTCACAATTTGACTCTTGTGTTAGAGCCAACACAGTTTTAGACCACACGGGGTGTGGCAGGCACATGTTCTTGGTGTTCTATTTGCATCACTTCATTTAATTCTTAAAACTATCTTCCAGAGTACTAGTTTCGTCAGTCTTTTGGCTGCAGAGGCTAATGCCGGAATAGATCAAGTGACTTGCTCAGAGTGACTTGCTAGAAAGTAAGTGACAGAGCTGGTGTTCAGATTCTAGTCTGATGGGACACTTGACCTTCGTGCTCTGCTACCTTCTTCTCTTCCTTAGCCATGCCAGAAATCTCTTTTGTTTGGATTTGTTGGTTTACTGTGACTGGTTGTCCTTGTTAGTTTCTGAAACTCTTTTGCATTAATCAGCTAATGTAATTGACGAGATGTTGACTATGTAGCATAGTGGTTGAGAATGTGGGGTTTGCAACCTGATTGCTTGGGTTTGAACACAGGCTCTGTCACTCCCTAGCAGTGTTGGACAGGTTATTGAATCTCTGTGGATCTTAGTTTCTTGATCTGTAATATGGGGAGAATAATGGTACCTATCTATAGGGGGATGTGAGGCACTTAAAATAGTGCCTGGCATAGAGTCAGCTGTCATTAAATGTCAGCTTTTATTGCCATGCGTTGAGACATTGGGTAGTATGGCAGATACAATAAAGACCATGAACACTGACCTTTAAGAAGTGTATCTTTTAGTGGGGAAGTTAGAACTATATCCAACTAATCTGATATGTAGGTAGCGTACAAATCCCAACGGGTCCACAGTCTGCCTGTGGACCTCCCTCAGAGGAGGGAGCGGTATACAGCATCATTAGGGGAGAGACAGCCTCTCCGGGAGCTGGGTTTAGATTTTAGGGGAAAAAGAGAATTGGGGAAGACACAGCAACGAAAGGGCCTGGGGAATTTTAAGGAATTTTGGAGTTTATCTTTTAGGTTGTTGAGGGGCCTTTGAAGGTTTTGAGCTTTGGAGGTACATAGTCAGCTATAATCTAGTTTTATTGCTGTCATAGCAAGTGGTACGGAGGGTAGAGAATTGCAAATTAGGGCTAATTTTGGTCCCTGATATCAAAGACAAATGGAAAGCCTGATTTTAGTGAGAATTTTCTATAGACCAGGGACAGCATCTTACATCCACCACCCTGTACACTGTTCCTATTAAGCAAGTCTTAGTGGCTTCATTTCACAGCTGAGGAACTGGGGGGTGGGAGGGGGAGGACGGTATTCAAGGTGCTGTTGTCACACAACAGTCAGGTCACAGCTTGGGCACTCAGCCATGCCTGCCTTCTCAGAAGGGCTCTCTTATCCCTGCACGTGCGTTAGAACTAACATGTCCATTTTGTTGGGGCAACCTGGTTTGTGGGGAATTGACCTAGTCTACCTGTGGTTCCAAAGCATTTTAGGCACCTTGATGTTTTTCAAGAGATCATTTTAAAAACGTATTTTTGAGGCGATTCCATGTTCAGTTAATCCTATAAAGGATTTCTAGACTTTCTAGGACTTCTAGAAACAGGCCTTGGAATCAGAGCACTGGAGTTTGAATCCTGCCTACCACCTCTTAGTGTGATGACCTGAACAAAATGAAAAGGATTCATTCTGCTTTAGACTTCAGACTTCTAAAAGTGTGAATTGAACTTCTAACTGGAAGCATTTTGGAAGCTGAGCAGGAAAGGGATCTGGCAACTAGCCAAAAAAAATCGGAGCAGAAACTAACAGAAAAATCAGATACAGGTCTGAGCCTTTCGAGTACATTACAGACCATGTGGGGTGAATGCTGAAGACAGGCAAAACCAAGACGAGAATTAATGTGGGATATCCCTTAGGGGAGGATTTGTGACAAATGCACTTTATTCAGAGTAAGAGCAAAAGCACAAGCACAGCTCGTGCTATGTAAAGAAAACAACCCAAAGGGAGCAGAGGCGAGATGGAACTCAGGGCCAGCTTATGGAGATGCTGGAATGCACGTTGAGGCAGGGTGTGAACTGGGTCTGTTTAAGGCTAGAGAACTGCCTTAGGTTCGTAGGCTCCCTTCCCTCCTCTTACTATCCACCTGTCCCTGCTGGCATTTTAAGCGTGCAACTCCTGGTCTGGAAGTCGGGTCTCTTGATTCTGGTTTAACTGTTCTTTCTGCTACCCAGCCTGGTTTCCCTGAAAAGGAGGGAAATTCCCAGTAGCTGATAAGGTGTCGGACCTGAGTTAATTGCACGATTAAAAATTTTTAAGTTCATTGATAATCCCACCCTGTAAGATTTTGGAAATAGAGGCCGTTTTGGAAAGAGAACTTGTTGGCCTGGCCAAGGCCATGTAAAGGTGAACAGGTCTCCTTTGTGCTGATTTCCCAGCACTGTGCCCTGTCTTGGTTTATTTCACCCACTCCTGAGACAGTCTCTGTCTATTCTTCTAGAAAGCAGTGGCATGGTTAGGAACCTTTAGATACTGGATGAGGCGGAGACCGATGGAAGGGAAAGGTTACCTTTTTAGTAGTTCTGGAGAACGTCTGGAACCGAAGCTGCTGTTTTTGGAGAAAGCAAGCAGAGGTTGAAGAGGTTCTGGTGTAGAAGCTTTGGCTCGGGGATAGGAAGGCAAAGGAAGGATCAATTTAAAGTCTAAAATGAGATATGTAGTACTTAAATCAGATCTTAAAATAAATATCCTAGAGTTAGTTGGAATTCTCTAAGAGGTCTGCGCAGAGGAAAACGGGAGTCCTTGAGTTGTTACAAAGTGGAGAAGAAACATTGCATCATCTGCTGTCCTGAAGAATTGTTTTATAACCATTACTGACACAGTGGCATTAATAAGCAAATCCTCTTATCTCCGTGTCTTCTCACGTTGGATGTAAAGGAAACTAGCTGTCTTGGAAGGATTCTCCCTCCGCCTACCACAGAGCCTGAGAAAAATGTGGCCAGCTGATTACATAATAGGGCCCTCTCTGTGTTAACTATTGTCCCATAAACCTGCAGAACTGTTTATATACCATGTTGCTCCCTCTACCCCAAGGAGCATCAAAACATCACAAAAATCACCGTTCTTGTTTTGATTAGGTTAATTAACAAGCAGTGAGCATCATTAAACACCTTGGCATTTAACCTTGAGCTCCTGTTTATTATACGAGACCTTGGCACGGAGGACCTGCCCCTCTTCACTCCTACTTCCTGCTGGGAAACTTCTTAAATTGACATGTTTTAGAAACAGGTACAAATGATAAGAGGTTCAATGTTCAAATGTCTATTCGTTAAATTCTTCTAGATTGTTGACATAATCTTCAAAAGCCATGTGAATTTCTGTCCTGGTAAAGCTATAACATTTGGTTTCTCTAATTTTAAAGTAATTTGCTTAATTTAATTTGGGGGGGAGGGCACTAGAATTTTTTAAAATGTTATTTTCACTAGATAATTGTAGGTTCTCATGCAGTTGTTAGAAGTAACACAAAGAGATCCTACATACTCCTTTTTTCTTTTTCTTTTTTTTTTTTTAGAGTGTGTGTGTGCAAGGGGAGGAAGGGCAGAGAGAGAGAGAGAGGGAGAGAGAGAGAGAATCTTAGGCAGGCTCCATGGCCCATCGAAGAGCCCAATGTAGGTCTCGATCTTTTTTTTTTTTTTTTTTAATTTTTTTTTTTTCAACGTTTATTTATTTTTGGGATAGAGAGAGACAGAGCATGAACGGGGGAGGGGCAGAGAGAGAGGGAGACACAGAATCAGAAACAGGCTCCAGGCCCTGAGCCATCAGCCCAGAGCCTGACGCGGGGCTCGAACTCCAGGACCGCGAGATCGTGACCTGGCTGAAGTCGGACGCTTAACCGACTGCGCCACCCAGGCGCCCCTGTAGGGCTCGATCTTACAACCTTGAGATCATGACCTGAGCTGAAATCAAGA